AAACAGGCACAGAGAGGTGAAGTAGCTTGACCACAGTTACAAAGGTAGTAAGTAACAGAGTTGGGGTTTGAACTCAATCATTATACTTCCGAGTACTTCCTCTTAACCTCTACACTCCACGGTACTTGTTTAAGGAAGTCGGTTCTTCCAGAGCCAGACTCTAGCTACAAGACTTAAGACACAAGGACCCCAACCTGCTTCTCTCACCGAGGCCCTGCTCTAGGCTCACTTTGTATGCACATAATTAACCCTGCCCACTGCTTCCTCTCATATGCTAATCCCTTCTGCATTTAGGAGAGTGATCTTATAAACCATTTTGTTCTTCCCTGCTTAACCCCTGCAGTAGCTGCTCTGGATAACACCCACAAGTCTCTTTCTGATGGCCCACCCTGGGCCTCCTTCACTCCAGCTGCTCTCCCTGCCTTGCTCTGTTCTGGCCACACTTGCATTTTCACAATTCCTTGAATGTCCCAAGCTTTGACCTCTCAGAACCTCTATCCTGAAGGATTTGGCTTAGATGGCACTTCTTTGGACCCCTTCCCTTCCCATCTAAACCAGGTCCCCTGTTTCATTTCTTTAGTGACAGAGATGGATTTAGAGAGCTAATAGAGAAATAACTATTTTTTTCAACCTTCTCATTTTAGACCTTATCTTCATTCCAAATATAGGAAATTGGTTGTAAAATCTGGATATACCCTTTATCCCCTTGATATCTTCTAAACTCTTCTTAGTGTGTGGAAGGACAGTTTAATTGAATTTTGTAAGAAGAACAGCAAAAAACGACATTTTTTTTCTTTCAGATTACAATTCAAAAACATGTTCCTCCTTGGCAAAGAGCCAAAAAAGAATTGCTTGCAGCCCAAAAAATGGAGCAATGGCTTCAGTCGCAGGTATGCAGTTTTGCACAGTACCTAAAACCCTCATTCCTTTAGGGGTTCCTGTTCCTAATTTGGGTTAATAGTGTTGTTCTTGAACTCTACTATAGAAACATACCAACACACTTGTCATGGTCAGAGTCACTGGAATCTCAGTGGCCGCCTTCCTCTCTCCCCTCCATGCCACTGCTCACCCTTCCCTTCCTAAATGCAGGCATTCTAACATTGAGTGGGATGCTGCCTGGGGTACCACTATAGCAGTGACGGCGAACCTTTTGAGCTCGGCGTGCCAGCATTTTGGAAAACCCTAACTCAACTCTGGTGCCGTGTCACATATAGAAATTTCTTGATATTTGCAACCATAGTAAAACAAAGACTTATGTTTTTGATATTTATTTTATATATTTAAATGCCATTTAACAAAGAAAAATCAACCAAAAAAATGGGTTTGCGTGTCACCTCTGACACGCGTGTCACGGGTTCGCCATCACTGCACTAGAATGTCCAATCCCTGGGTCAGCTACCTGCCCTTGTTGACCCTGGCTCTTTCCCAGGCTAATGACACCAGACATCGAGCCCTGATGGACATGATGGGAGGAGTCCTGGAAGTCAAGAAGGAAGATATTCTGAGAATGGTGAGATTTCCGACATCCTTATCAAAATGGAATTTGGGTGATGAGAACTATTTACATTTGACCATTTTTGTCTATATGAACCTGAGCTTTAAAATTCTACAGCAACAAGTAAACAACCTCCAGTACCTTATAAACATACCACATCAGACAAATAAGATATTGGGAATCACAGACTTGCCTTTCAATCTGACAAATAGGGCAAACAAACAAAAACAAGCAACCATAGTGTTTTGGTCTCACTGAAAGCAGGGATAATGCTGCACCTGTTATTCTCCAGAGAAACATTCCCTTTGACACCTGACATAGGTGCCCCTGGAGCTCAGGTGTAGTTCCAGCTATGAAGATATCAACACATACCTCCAAACCTGTCACCTAAGAGTCTGGGTATATCCCAAACTGTCCAACCTCTTTAAGTTACAGAGAAACAGTTGTAACATTTTTTTTTCTTATATTTTGGTCAAAGTGTCAGGTTATTATCTTGCCACTGTGAAGAACTATACCGTGTTAAAGGGCCCTTGCTTTTAACTGTAATGATAGCCCTGAACTTGTATTGTACTGCTTCATATAGGTTTGCGCTCCACTACATGCTTTCCTTTCTATCTTCAGGTGATTCCTCAGCCTGCTTTCATGGCAAAACCTGATGCTATATGGACTGAAGAGGAAAGAAAACAATTCAAAGACTATGAGAAAAAAGTCAGGGAGTTAAATGAAGAAAGAGATAAGTATAGAAAGGTCAGAAGTGCAAATAATTCATATATCCTACCATATTCATTATTGTTTCAGTATATTTTCAAATTAAGTGTTCTTGATTTTCTCATTGTCGTCAGCAGTTGAAGGATAGTGTTTCAACTGAAATTTTGAAGAGAATTTAGGGAAGTGGGTGGATATAAAGTTAAAGTGTTAGAACAATTTAAAACAAGAAGAATGTATTTAAAATTTTTTAAGTTCTTCCTGATTTCAACATTTCCCATGTTATTGCAATTCATTTGGTTTTCCAATCATTCTTCAAATGTTTCATGAACACCTATTACAGTATATTCAAGGCACTGCTCTGTATTGTCTACAGCTATTTGAGTTCAGTAATACTCTTGCTTGATTTACTCTCAGTCTCAAGGAAAGGACTTGAGGGAAGGACACCATCAGCCCAGCACACACTTTACAGTTCTAATTTGAGATTTTTGCAATGCAGTCTACTTTTATCTCCTTCCATTGCGAAGAAACATTCCCACATCAAAATTGCTTACAATTATAATGGAGATATAAAAGCTGATGGTATACAACCAAATAAATAATATTTATTCCTCTGTGAAGAAAATAAAATCATACCATCATTTGAGGCAGGACAGTTTGTCAGCTTTACAGTGGCTGTATCTCATGAACAATTTCTTTGAACCTATTGTTAACCTGTCATGTTTTTATTCACTGCAGTCCTCTAAGAGTGCCCTGGCATTTTATCTTAAGATAGTACTTACCTGAAAGCCAAAATGAGTAGTTTTGAATGCAGTAAAGATTGCAAGGAGTTGGGGGATAGGAATAAAGTGTGGTTATTTACTCCGTGGTCCTGCACAGTACGATACTGCACTGCCCACACCCTTACCCCCCTGCTCCCTGGTCATGCTCACTTGGTAAAACCCAGCCTTGACAAAGCCCAGCACTTGGCCTTCTCTGCACTTGCACCTGCAGTAGATAAAGAAAATAAAAATACTGACTGGTTTCACTCTAATGGCCTTAATCTTTATTAGGTCCTGACACCTGCTCAGCAAAGCTAGTCCATTTCCCTGCTAGCTTAGTCCACATCACCTGGGGAGCTTGTTAAAAATGCAGATTCGGATCCCATCATTCTCAGGAAATGGGAGCGCCCTCAGAATCCTAACAAGCAGCCAGGTAGTGAGCCAACCGCACTTTAAGTACCCAGGTCCTACACTTCACGTGGTCTCTAGCCTCGAACTTCCAACCTCCAGTCCCCTGTCACCTTATGTTCTGTTGCACTTGGAGAAGAGAAGCAATAAAAGATTTCCCTTACTCTTCTGCCACTATGTCTTCCAGCCCCTAAAGTAAATCCCTAGAATCTCCCTGCCTTGCTGTTTCTTCTGGAAGAAACAGCCTTGCGTCCACCCAGGCCTGGTCCTCCCCTTGTGCACTAGAACCGTCCGGTCTCACCCTGCAGCATGGTTACTCCAGCACTTTGCCTTTCCCCTGCGTCATCAATTTTCCCCTCTCTGCTGGAGTTTTCCTACCAACATACACATGCTGTAATCTTTTACATTGTATACAAAAGGAAAAGGAAAAAGACTTTTTTGAAGGAGATTCTGGAGTTCTTTCTACTATTCTTGTTACTTACTTAAAAATAAAAAGTTAAAGAATTCCTTTGATCCCACTTTCCTGTCAATCCACTACTCAGTGTCTCCTCAAAAAAAACTCCAGAAACAAACTATGATCATTCCTATTTCTCCCTTCTCAATCTTTAAAAAATAAATAAATAAATAAGGGAGGAGGAGGGGAGGGGGATAGATATTGAGCAAGTGATAAAGCAAATGGGGCAGAATATTAACAGCTGATTAAATTGGTTAAAAGTATATGGGAATTCTTTGTACAACTGTAACTTTTCTGTAAATTTGAAGTCATATCAAAACTTAAAAGATACCAAAAAATTTAAAGATAAAAATTGTAGCAACATGTCTAGAATTGATCTTGTTGTTTTCTTTAAAAATGTAAACTCATAGTTTTTCACTTACCTAGTGTATGCTTAGCTGTATGTCCTGGTGGGATTTTTTTAAAAAGGGGTGGGAACCAGCCGGTATGGCTCAGCAGTTGAGCACCAATCTTTGACCCTTGCACCAAGAGGTCACTGGTACAATTTCTGGTCAGGGCACATACCTAGGTTGTGGGCTTGATCCCCAGAAGGGGACGTGCAAGAGGCAGTTGATCCCTCCATTGACCTCCCCCCGGGCCAAACCCCAAAAGGAGTCATATATGTAATACTTTAAACAATAAGATAAAACTTAAAGAAAAAAGAGGCAGTTGATTGCTGTTTCTCGTCGATGTTTCTATCTCTCTCCCTCTCTCTTTCTCTTGCTCTAAAAATCAGTAAAAACATATTTTTAAAAACATAAAAGGAGGTGGGACTTTTTTTTTACCTGATGTAGAACTGCTTAGAAAAATAAAACATACCAAAAAACAAGGAAGAATATATATTCCCTTCTTATTTCCTTAAAATCTAAACAATTCTATGAAGAGATATTCATGGCTTTTACAAAAATCAAGATTTCTTTTTCCAGGCTGGATGTGTGCCTGGCAATTTCTGTCCTGTATAGAGTCAGAATTTTCTGGAAAGATTTGCTGAGACTTGTTTTTCTAGGCTTACTGCCACCTGCATCATTAGTAATGATCAGTGATTTTTAACTTTCTTTTTTTCAGTAAAATGTTTTTCAGCAAAAATCTCAGACTCACAACCTATTAAACAAATCCAGGTACAACATCTCTGATTGAAGGGGGCCGAAGAACCTAGAACACCACTCAAGACTTGCCTGCCACCTGCCCCTCCCTTGTGGCAAAATGTGAACATCACTTCCTGCGACATTTGATGTCCCTAAACGTTAACTTTGCTGTTGACTTCCTTTCTTTCAGTCCTTAGAAGCAGAATTGAGGAAACTTCAAAACTCAATTCAAGAAAGCACACAGAATTTTGATGAATATTTGAAAAGACTCTTTGAAAGGAGAGTGAAGGCAGAAATGGTTATCAACCAGGTAAATAAAAGATTCCTTACATAATTTTTTAAAAAATGAGTTTCCAGGTCCTCTCAGTGTTCTTGGGATATTGACCAACATCCTTTCTGGCACCAAGGTCCTAGGGGCTCTGGCCCTG